CAGAAACTTCGCTCCTCAGAAGAAAAAAAGATGCCCTCCAATGCGCGATGTCTGTCCGAACTGTGCTATTTATCATTCTTACACGAAAACAAGACAGAAAGAAACTAGAGCTACTCAAAGTAAAACAACAGTACTGTTAGCTAAAAAGGAAAATCTCACGACTGTCTGCAATCGCTGAGGCTGAACATTCCTAAAAAGAGCCTCCTCTTGCCAAGGCCCTTCTCTGACGATCATGAGGCTCTGTAACAAACAAGACTTATGCTGCAGCCCTTCCTCATGTCATGTCTCACAACCTGTCCCACACCTGGTAATATCTAATAAAGAACCCTTTCTTGGATTTCTTTGTCAAGTCAGAATCCTAAAATTACAGAAATTATCATCTCAGTAAATGACAAATGCCTTCATTTAGAAAAAATACTGATTGTCTAGCACAGCATGTAATCACGAATTCCTAGTCTAGTAATTTCAAAAGCTACAAGTTACAGAATCATTGCAAAAGAGTAATAATGAACATGTAAATAAATATATAAAGTCGCCCCCATACTCCATATAATAAAATGCTACATTTTATATAGTTTTTGTAAATTCAGTAGTCCTGCAGATATGACTTGGGAAACATACCCCGTAAGATGTAATAAGTAAACACAATAAGAACCAGGACTAAACACACTATTTTTGCAAATGCACAGTGAATAACACTTCTGATGACAAGAAAACAGTTAAATTAGACATAGTCTTAATTATAACAATAGGAAAGGTAATCAAAATAGATGCAATACAATAATTACATGTGTCTGTTAATTTCATGCATTTACAGAACTATACATATAGCCAGTTAGGTACACGAGATTTCAGAACAGAGAAAGGGGATTAATTTCCATCAGCAAAAGAAAAAAAATAAAAAAATACAAGACATACCACAGGATTTGGCAAGGGACTTAGGGGAAGAAGTTGATGGCAACATTTAAAACACTGACTTTTCAAGTTGTCAGCATCTCTTTAATTTGCTTCTTCCTGGGGATGGATTTTGGAGGGTTCTAAGGTTTGCGGATGGATGGTGTTGTGGTCTTGGTTCTCTGCTATTCCAGTACAGGTAGTACAGCACTGGATGGAATTAATCTCAGTTTAGTATTCTAAAGCCAAGTATCTAACCTGAGCTAAATCGCAGCTTCTACAGTCTCCAGAGAGGCTCTTCAGAGTATGATTTAATCTGCTTTCCTGAAATATCTATCTTAGGAGGAGATTAATAGCTCTCTGAGGTGCCCAGATTCCTCCCTTAAACTAGATGTCTAACTTTCAGCGATCTAACATCCAGTGAGATGAATTCTACTCACCACATACCATGATTACCAGACATCTATCTGGTAAAGCTGGCATGAGAGCTCCAAGGAAAGAATGAGGCAGTAAACACAATGATCCTTTTTTTTTTTTTCTTTTGTCTGAAATTTGGACCTCCAAGTAAATGGGGATTATAAGATCCAAACTTCTTGCAGAATTGTTCTTCCATATAAGTTCTGCTCACTGATGTACTTAATCATGTACATAATTTATACAACAGAAATCCCATCCATTTCCATGGAGCTATTTAGCCAGACAGCTCAGAATTATGAATACAAGCATGGTATTCAACTGAAGCCTCTAAGAGTTGGGAAGATGCTTTGAATGGTAAAATTGTCACATTAATTTTTAAAGTGACCAAAAGAATGACGTATCTACCTACGTGCCATGCAACACCAATGTCATACAGATAGTATGGGAGCCCCCTTTAGTTTAAGAACAGGAGCACTTCAGAGCAAGGTTTTTGTTTTTTTTTTTCCCACGTTAGTAATATTTTTTAACAACTGTTGTCATAGCACATTTTCTACAATGCTTCAGAAAGACAGACAAGATCAAAGGACAAAGATTAAAAAAATGGAATATCCTTAAAAGCAGAATTTAGGTAACATGACTGAGGGACAGTCTAGTAGTGGAGATGATGACCTAATTCCAGAATAATTCAATTCCTTCAACTGAGGAACTGCCATCATTCATTTTGGATTAAATGAAACTAGAATAATTTTCCCTCTAAATGACTGCTTCACAAGGAGACAGTCCACAGTAGTTATTGGACTTGCACTCGCACTTTACCGTACCCTGTAATACCTTTCACATGTAGACAAACCAAAAGGCACTTTGGCAAAGCAACACAGGAAATCCAGCACAGCTCCTGCCAGGGCTTTTCCTGCTGCACAGGTGGAGAACTCAGTCTCCAGGTACAGTAGAAGTTGAAAACAGAACTGCTATGAAGTTATCTTCTGCCGTTACATTCACTTTGCAAAAGGAATTCCTACATGAAAAACCTTGAGAATTATACACATATGTATGTAGACATATACAAAACATTTTCATATATACACAAACATATGTGTGCATATATATAATTTATACATACATATATAAATAGATATACACATATAATTGTAATATAGCAGAACTAAAAAGATGGTGATCTATTTTTGCTTCTTTGTGATGTATAAGGAAGGCCTAAAAGTATGTTGTTTTCTTTATCCTGGAAATACTAGAAACGTCAAGTCTGGTCTATCCTCTCTTCGCTGGAAGACTTCTTGCACGTATAAAGCCATAGCTAAAAGAGCTTCTTAACCTCTGATTGAAGGTTAAAGTCTACAACTACAGATGTAAGTAGTTTCCAATTATTTCCCAGTTATTTAGTTACGGGATAGAAATACCTGTTTTAAATAGCCCAAATAAAAAGTAGACTTCCATTTATCTATCAAGTGACAACAGAGAACTCCCAACAAAAACAATTTCAAACAGAAGGCATAACGTAAAAAACCAAAACCTTTAGTAAGAACAAAATGTCAATTTAAACCTCCTTTATACTACCTAAAAAACAAGAGAATGAAATCCTTTATACGATTACAAAAACACTTGTTTGATTCACTGATGCTGTAGAAGAGAAACTGTATTATCTACCAAGTTCACCAGTTTGAAGGCACAATGGCTATCACTTCATCCACATCCCATTCTATTTACAGTGAAAAACAAACAAGAAAGATCCTAAGAAAAAAAGGAGATAAACACAGATGCACCCTGAGAAGTGAAATTTCACAACAAAAATCATTTGTTTTGAAATACTGCTCTTTGTAAACTCTCATTATCTGAACCTGTGTTCTCCTATAGCTAGAACAATAATGCTTAATACTCAATTACAATGAAAAATACTACTTGCAGATAAAAAAGTTAAAAGTTAAATTCCCAGAAAAATAAAGCAACCCAAACCTGATTGAAAGAAATGAGGTCTCACACAGAATCACATCAAAGCTGACATTTGTCAGTGTGGAAGGGAAAAAAAAAAAAATCAATCTAAGAACTCTGACAACATCTAGTTTTCTGGAAAAACAAAAAAGAAAGGAATGGCCTAATCTAGCTGGAAATCCCATAGTGCTGTCTATGTGGAGTGAAAATCAAAAAGCCGAACATGCACGACCTTCTTTGGATCTGGAATTCCCAACAGATTCTGTAAAATTTAAAAATCTCAAGAAAAAGGTCTTTCTAAAAAATCAGATAAATGGTTCGTAGCTGTTTCATGACATGGTTTATAAAGTATTGGCACCAGCGCACAGAGTTCAAAGCGTTCATTCAGGAGTCAGAGAGACTGTCAAATCTTTAATGACTCGAAGCAGTTCTCCAGCAGCAGTCGGTTATTTCCTGCATAAACTCAAGTATTCTCTCCCAGTGATCTTCGGTGCAACAACGTGCTTCTGCCAGATAAAATATCTTCCTTTTTGTTCCAGTGGGTAACAAGTGCCATCGACATAAGAACAGTAGAACAACATTAAATGACAGGCTGTATTTCATCACTGGTGTCTAAGAAGGTAAAATTCTAAACTCAAGCTGAAGATCATAACAACATTCTCTAGGAGTGGCATTCAAGGAAAAAAGAAAAGGAGACAAAAACTTCATCCATAGAAATGCAAAAGGAAGAAACCTTGTCCACTGACACAGTTTTCCTTCTCCAGAGGCTAAACATTGCTAAAGAAAGAGACTGCAGTAGTACTTAGAGTGATTACATCTTACAACAAACAAACAAACCAAACCCAATATGAAGGTTTGGTGATTATTAAATCATCAAATCATACTGCCCTTGTTTCAAACCCATTATATTTTCATTGCTGCTTGACTGAACAAAGATGTTTGGTTTTACACTCGACAGTAGATTTGAACACCAGTGTAAGGGGCAGTTGCTAACTTACTACTCCAAGTTCAGTAAGTTAATGGTACTCTGCATGATAACCAGACCTATCACAAATCAAGTCTTGACCATGACAGAAATTTGAAAATTGCTCTGGAGTTTTCTACATATTACCAGTTACGACACTAAGCACCTAGCTCAAACTTTATACCAATGCCAAGCAGCAGCTGGCAATTTTTCTCTTTTGTTTCTCCTCTAAGTTCAAGTGGAAGGTTCTTGCACTTATCTGCTGTGTCGCTTAGGCTGGACTGTAAAACATCACTACACCTATCTCAGGTGGAGGAAGGGAGAAAAATGTATCAGATACAATTAATTGCCAAAGAAATGAAGACAACGTGTCTTTACAATCCATTCTTACAAAAGTTTAAATAGGTTTTCAAACCACTAATTATAGGCCAGATCATAAAATCTTATGCTGCAGGCCAAACTAGAATGTTACAGTCCTGGCGTAAGTATATACAAATGCATCTCTATACATTTACATATACACACACAAAGACTTGTACATAAGAAGGAAGCACCTGTCTTTGCCTTACCACTAATACTGAACTTCTGCTTTCACCTGGGTATTAACATAGCTTATTGTGTGTAACACTCTATAAAGGGACATTTAAGAAGACATTTATTCATTTTCTTCTCATTAAAGCCACACACATGGCTGGTATTGAAAAACATGCAGTGCCATCAACACAGAATAAAACAATCCTTAGGAACAATATCAATTCTTTAATAAATGCCTAATGTAATTAAATGTATTTTACCCATTTGTGTAGGTAATTAATAATTTCCACTTTTTCAGAGGGGATTCACGTTCTTCTTTAAAAAAGTCAGCACAAATTCACAGGAAACAACTCTGTCAAACGAATTTCACAGTACCACATGTAGCGAGTTACTGGGTGAAACTCTTTTTAATGAATACATTAGGAAAGTTGTCATTCAGTTCTAGGACAACTCTATTATCAATCTGTGAACAGAAGGACACATCAAGTAAAGAAAGATCTTTACAAGACTCCAGCAATTTTCTTAATGATGCAGGGCTTACCATCCTCGTCCCTGTTCAAAAACAAGAAAAAGAAATAACACAGAATGTAAAGTTACTGAGAACATTTTTTTCAAAGCTGCTAATACCATGTCATAAAAAAATTGCTACTATAACACAATTTTTATTCAGCTTATTTCAATTAGACTTCAAATGAAAAGCTTCTCAGAGACAGTGCAGATTTTTTACCTTCAAGAAGCTCACTGTATTTTCTTAACTGCTTAAGGAACTTCATCATTTTCTACTGGAAGGCAACTTTACAACTTCAAGGGGAACCTCTAACTACAGGAGCCAAGTACCCAAAGCTGCAAGACCTCTCAGTGACCAGATGGTGGGCTTTGGTGGCGAGCAGCACCATATGCTACGCTCATGCTCTCATGACTCTCTCACTGACCAGCAGAGCTCAGAAGCTATTTGGGCTCCTCCAGTTCCAAACACACAAGCAAGGCTTCTAGGACTCCAGAATAAATGTGAGCGTTGTGAACGTGCAAGGGCAGCTGTTCAAGAGACTATCAGTCATAGAATCACAGAACGTGTTGGGCTGGAAGGGACCTTTAAAGGTCATCTAGTCCAACCCCTCTGCAGTGAGCAGGGACATCTTTAACTAGATCAGGTTGCTCAGAGTCCCATCAAGTCTGACCTTGAATGTCTCCAGGGATGGAAGGCCTCCATCACCTCCCTCTATACTAACTGTAACAGAAAACACACTATTTACCCCTGCTGAAAACATGGCCACTGTGACTGAACTCCTATGTGTCACACAGGGTCCGATCAAGCATGGGACTCAGTCAGAAACCAGGTAAGGAAGTGTTTGTGAGCATGCATCCGCACACGCCTTGCATGGAAATCTAGTCAGCACACTCAGCGATGCTTAGCACACGACTCAGCTGACCGAGCTCTGGGGCAGGGCTCAGTTTCCTGAACCCTTGGGGTTCCTCACATCATGCAGGACGCCCACACAGAGCCTGCCAACAGGGCACAGGACCCAGAGGAGGAGGTCCGCGCCTTGCTGGAAAGGCTGGAAGCCAGGCAGGTTACTCTGGGAAAGTGAACCAAGCCTGGATGTCTACTGTGGGTTGAATTGCTGAGCAAGCTCTCCTGGCTCTAAAAAGAGTTTATACATCCAGTACGACTGCAGACACTTCAACTTAGGCAGCTCTATCTTGAGCTGACCTGCCCCTCAAAAGCGTCCCAGGATCTTGTCTACGGTCAGGGCTAATAACACAGACGACAAAAGAGAGAAGAAAGGAGAAGAAAAAATAAGAAAAGAGGGAAGAAATGGGAGAAGAAAGAAGAAAAAAATAAGAAAAAAAAAGAAGAAAAAAGAAAAAAAAAGAAAAAAGAGAGAGAATAGACTTTTAAAGTAGCTTTTCACTAGTGGATCTTCTCAACTTCAAGAATTTTCAAGTTTAGGGATTTCTGAAGCCTCCTTCCATGAACTTTATACTTTTTCTGAACTTTATACTTGTAGCCTGTTCACAAGTTCTACAGTTGAACTACGCAACATTGAGGAAAAAAAAAGAAAAAAAAAATCAGCCTATTAAGTGTAATAATTAAGGTGCAATGACTCATGAAGAAGCAGTGAAAGATCATTCCCAGTTCCCTATTTCCACATCATCCATAATTCTACGGATATCTCTCCTCTTCCCTCAAGGCCGTACGTTTTCCAGACTCTTTAGCATCTCAGATGACCCCTGTTGTCTTGTTTTTACATTAATTTACTGCTTTTGAAATTAGATGAACAGAACTATACAGTACACTGAGCACAAAGTCAGTAACTGTACAATGAGGTCTTACGGTGTTTTTTCCATTTCTTTCCTAAGAAATCCTAACCTTCTCTTTGCCTGCTGAAATGGTGCTAAGCAATGAGCTGATGTTTTCTAAAAATTGCCCGCAGGATCTCTTTCCTACAGAACAGTAGCAAATACAACATCACCCACACATATACTTAGTTATTTTGCCTCATGCAATTTTTTTCACACTTGTTGGAACAGTTTTCCTCCTTCTTTATCATGTTTACTAAGTATTGTAAAATCATTCTACAATTTTTCAGCGTTAAATTCTTCAGCTTAAGACTTTTCTACTCTGAATACCTGTGCATTACCCTGGTACAGCACTATTCAACCCCTTTGCCTGCACTACTGATAAGTCAATCAAGTACAGACCCTTGGTGACCACCATAGTGATACAACTTTGCTTTGAGAAGAGACACGTTCTTGTCTCTGTTGTCTTTGAAACACTCATAATCCAGGAGAAGACAGCTAAGTTACAAAAGCAGAACAACCTTGGCTAAAGCTTTCAAAAATTCAGTCCTCTATGGACTGGATCAGCAAGAGCTCCAAGGAATTCTAAAAGACTGGACAGGTATAACTAGGCTACCCTCACAAGGCTGCAGCTCTCCTTTAGAATATCGTAATGGCCTTCACATGCACTGACTGACTGACTTTCTTATGGCTGCAACTGGTTTACACAGAGCAAAGGACATCCTTACTGGTTTGTAGCTTCTACCCTGCACCCTTTACAGAAGATTGTGCCATGCTTGTAACCCTTCACTCTTCTAGTGCTGAGGCATTCAGGTGACATACCAGAAATAAGATTTCCACAGGCCTGTATTTGAGCTCATTTAGAACCGCTGCATAAATACCATTTAGTCCTAACAATTTATTATTGTTCAATGGATTGATTTTTTCAAAAGCTTTCTGTATCAGCATTCCAATTTAGGGCAGCTTCTCACGCTGATCTCCTGGGAAGAATGGCTCTGATGGAGCAGCCTGCTTGATCCCCCCTGCCACGAGCACTAATGGACAAAAACCAGTTCTGCAATGGCCTTCTCATACCCCTGTGATCCTTCACATCTGGAGCATCTACCAGCTTCGGTAATTCTCCTTCTAATGTACCTGAAATATAGTTTTAGCCTTTATCTTCAGCAAATTGTTCCTTAATATCTCATACTGCCTTACTGTGATTTTTGTTTCACTTTCTAGAGTTTATCTTCCTATTTACCTTCTCTGAACAGGACACATTTTCAGAAAGACACCTCTTAGGTTTTAGCAGCTTTCTGTACTCATCTGCATAAGCAAAGGTGTATCTAAGCACAGTCTTCACGGTAGGCTCTCAGATTAGTTACTTTAAGACGTCATTTAACATCACCAGAAAACAGGCTTTCTATCATGCCCACAGCTCACCTACAAGGAAGTAATGAAAGCTTGTCATTATTATTGTGATTTTTAACTCCCTTATATCATTACACAACCACTGTCACAACAACCGCCTGGTTGTTGGTGTAACAGTCCCTATGGCCATACACAGAAATCCTGTAATAAACCTTAGTTATTCACTTCATTTAACCATAAATTTTACCTTAGTACCACTGTCCTACCATCAACATCCACTCTACCATTCCAGCTGAAACTCTAGGAACAACACAGGATGCTCCTCATCATTTTTTCTACCAAGCCTTAGAATTGCTACTGCATCAGCACCTTCACTTAAAACCACTCTCATTTACACACTACAGCTTTTACGCTTCAGGATCCATATATGGGTTTCTACAAAAATGCTAGATCTAGATGCCTAGCCACAGATTTTGCTGTGTAGGATGCTCTTCGTTCCTTCCTACCTGAACTTTTGACAGTTCTCCTACTGTTTCATCTAAGACTAAGATTTTTAATAGATTTGTAACTAAGTAGGTCATTCTAAATTGCCTGCTTTACCGCATCTGTTTCTTTCTTCCTCCTCTGAGTTAAAATTTTATGTCAGGAAAAGCTAAAAAGGCCAGCAGTCTGTTTGGGGTTTGGTTATTCACACCATGGCATAGGCAAACATCATTCGCAGTCTTACTTTTATTTATATAATGTACAGTTAGTGATGTACCTTCCTTAAAAGCACATTCAAAAACATTTCAGAAGTATAATACAGCATATTTTTCTTTGCTTTTGAAAGACTGGCAACCTATCTTGCTAGTTACATATACAGTGCATTTTTCTGGAGTCTGGAGGCTTTCGGACCTGTGTTATTTACTACAACTTTTCCTACATGGACTAACCAGCCATTTCTCATACTACATACATAACCGATATACTAAAATCTGCTATTTACTTTTGTTATTCAGTTTAGTCTCTGGAAAAATTCTCTGGTAGTGCCTTTGTAAAAGGCACTTCTGAGTAATGATTTCTTTGCTAGAACAATTATGTTTATTAGCTGTAAATGACTGAATTTATATCTGCCATATATCCAAATTTTCAAATTCTAGAGCTGCTCAGGAGACCTCTGTATGTTGTCTGTAAAAACGGCCAGAGCCCCCATTTCTAGGGCAACGGATACTACTACGCACTAAGTAATATTTAAGAGCAGAGACCCTGAAAATAACTAACATAATATTCATTCAAGCGTTCTTACTTTTTCCTCTCCTCTTCTAGACCAGTCAGATTAGGTTTTTGTTCTTTATTTGATCTATTGCACACAACCCAAATTCTAAAATTTAACATGCTACACATTTTCATGTTTGAATTGACTAACTATGTGTTGATGCTCTCAAGATAAAACTGAAAATTCTGACAGCTGGCAAGGGGGCAGCTGAGTTTTCTGTTGCTCAGGAAGGTGTGGGAGGTGTTGGTATGTAGACAGCATTACATGAATTTTGCAGTAACAAGAGTGTCTACTTCTCATTACTCCTTTTCTGCAGGACAGAGGCAGTCAGGGCTTTTGGGGAACAAGGTTAAGACAACGTAATTCTCCATCCTCAACAACAGCTGGTAGCCCCAGAGCAACAGAACTAAGGCTGATACGATGTACAAGAAAAGCTTTTGGCACTGCCAATTCAGGTTGTCATGTGCCTTGTCACATTGCTAAACATCGATTGCAGTCTGAAAACTAGTTTTTCACTACAGGTTTAGAGATGTCCACTTAACTTTTGATAGCACTGCATGATGCATTCCATCACCGCAAAGCTGTCAGGTGATCACAGCTGGATCACTTGACTGCATGTCAGTCAGTGGAAAAGATGTGGGCAGAGAAGGAAATGGTACTTGTAAGCAGGCAGCTCAGTATCTAACGGGGAAAAAGAAAACTCGGAACTAAACCTTCAAGAAGCACACCCTGATGTATTCAGTGACCCATCTACATCGTGCTTCCTCTTCCAAATTGCATTATAATACAGCAAATATGGATCCAAACCCTGATTTATTGAAACAGAAATTTACTTTTTTACACACCACAAACACAGCCACCCTCCACACAATGTTTTACATGGACCAATAAGGTCATGGAGCCTTGAACACTGGCAGTTTTCATCTTCTGTGGAGTTCTCTGATTCTATAACAAGGGAATTGCCAAGCGATAATGGAGATGGCTAAGGAAAGGACAAACAGCTGCAGGACCTACCACCTGAAAACAGCACCTAAGTGTAGATGTAACATTCATTTTGTAACACTTAAACGACACAGAGCTCAACAAGATTTCTTTCAGAGGCTTAGACTCCTCCAATGCTGAAGCTATTGCGGTAATAAATAATCTATAACTGAAACAAGAAGTCTTCCCCGACAAGTTTGTAAGTTCTAACAACTGCAGAGAGAAACTAAAATAGCAGTGTCAACTCTGGTGACTACAGTGCAAGGTAAGACATTCTGAGCCCTACTTAGGTAAGTGCCTGTACACAGCAAATAAACCTCAAGCTTTTGTACAGCTTTGCTGAAGCAAAATAAGTTCCCTTACAGCATGCACTATTAACCTGGCAGCTATACTTCTACATCCTTCACAATGCATGTACAAGCCAGACATTTCCGTACTTGGGAGATGACAAAGGATATAATGAAAGCACCTCTCGTTCATTCACATCACAGAAGAGACCCACTGTTCACGGTTACTCTTGCAAAGCTGAGCACTGACCTCAGGACCCTAACGGCGTCAGACATGTTGTCATGCTCCTTCAAAAGGACAAAACAGCCCAAGCATTTATGTAGCCTGCAGTAACAGGAAGGCCCTACATCAGCCACCAAAAGTTAGAGCACCTACAGAAATTTATGACTTTCTTGGTATTTGTGCACTGTGAAAGACGAGCTCTTTAGTTCAGACAACAGGGACCTCTTGCACTTACAAGGGAACACCCGGCAACTCCACCTCCAGACAACCCAATGTGGTTCTACTTGACAGCTCTCTTTTGACCACAGATTTTCATATTCAGACAAAGAAATGAACATTGTTTCTTTGCTGTTGCCAAAAAAGTTGGGTAACTCCTTCACATATATCATATAACACATATATCATATAACCTTGTACTGACTTGTTTACAGCAGACGACAAGCTTTTTTCTCACCCTATTAAATGTCCCTCTGAAGGAAGAGAGTGAGGCCCGCAAGGTGCATGTTAAGATTTTTGGCAACATCTTGCATATAATTCAGCGGGATATCCCCTGGAGAGTATTTATCTGAACCCAACGCAACATTTCATGGAGAAAGGTTGACTAGTAACCCACTAGACTCAGCAATACCAGTATGCACCAAGGGAATAGGACAAATCCCACTTCCGCATTCATGCGTTGTCTTTCCACAAAACCATCGATAAGATGCCAAATTGAATTCAAATGCTAAAGAAGCGTGGCAACAAACCTTGCAGAGAGGCAACAGAAGTGGCAGACAATCCGTGGGTTTAACACAGCTGAGCCACTTGTGGGGCAGCCTCTGGTGTAGTGAAAATGCGAGACCGCATTGCAGGCAGGCACGACGCCGTCGTAACAGAAACGCATGGAAATGGGCAGTCAGGAGGACACACGTGTTTATGAAAGACTTCAGTCACTAGGCTGTTTGGAAATTTTTTAGGTCGGCATAGGGATAATCTGGCTACAAAACAGATTCTGCATATGCAGAACCCATTTACCTCCTGCAGACATACGCGTTACGTCTCTACAGTTTCTACTAGATGGAGTTAAGTTTTTATCTGTTCATCCTCCTTTGCCATGTTGGTCAGAAGGCAACACTCTCAGCCAGAGATGAGTAAAATCATATTTCATGATAGAAGAGTGTAATAGCTATACTGGAGTGACAATCTGAAGCCATATGGTAATTTTTTTGTAATGAGAAATGCTCATAGTCTTAAACCTGCTTGGAAAATTACCCAGATTGAGGGGTCTCAGTTCTTTCTAGCATTGTTCTCAACCCAAATGTAGTATTTTCATTAAACTTATTAAATATTAAAAGTATACAGTGCAGCTACTTTATTCCCTTTCATTTAAATCCTCTTTTTTCAACTAACCCTCTGAAAATAAGTCAGTAAAAACATGAAGAAATTTCTCCCACATCAGTCTCACAAATATCCTTGTTGTCCTACATTATTTTAAAAAGAAAACCTCACATTCCACCACCACAAAAAAGTCAGTATCATGTAAACCTACATTTCTCAAAGTCCTTACTCAAGAGTCCAAAGCATATTTACTTTAGATTTCTAAAAATATTTTTAATTATAGAAGTTGCAGAAGATCAGAAATTTAAGATTTGCCATGTTTTTTTCCCCTCATCACTTCCTTCCCACCTTAGTGAAGAGCTCATTTTAAGCTTTGCTGTTATACCTTTTCCTTTTTAATGAGTCAAACTCATTTCCCAGTAAAAGTGACAAAGAAATTCACTATTGCTTGGTGTACCTGTATTGTGCAAACCCAGAAATCTATTTGTTGATCACAGACTTGCACTATAAATACACTTTGTCACAAATCACAGAAATAAAACAACAGAAGCAGAAAGAATAAGAAATTGGATCTTCTGGTAGTCAAAGAGAAAGATTTCAGTTTAAAAAAACCTAGTGGTCGTGAAATAGAGTTATTGGAAAAATTTTGCACTTAAATCTCAGTTTAAGCAATTCATTCTAAGCAGTCAAGTTACATGGCTGGTATAAATCCACTAGATTCTGAGTCAGAAACTCACTAGAGTGAGTAAAACTTCCCTCTGTTTTTATTTCATGTACTAAACCATAATATTAAGAAACATTTACTTAAAACCTGTCAGGAAGACAGGTTTGTCTTAACGACTCCTTGTTACGTGCAAGGCTTTTGAGACACAGTAAGATAAATACCAATATTCCTACATTTTCTTACCTAATATATCCAGCTGCCGTAAGCGCGTGCAGTTAGCAGCAAGCTCCTCGATGTCTGTGTCACACACGGACCTGTTGGCCGTAAGAAAGAGCTTTTGCAAATTCGGGAGTTTACGTGCAAGGTTTGTGAAACAGCCTGTACTGCTCTGTAACGTAGGGCACCAGCCAAGATCAAGTTCTTCCAAAAGCTGGCAGCCTGAAGCTAATTCTGCTATTCCACTTTCAGTTATGTTTTTACATCTCCACAAATCCAGACTGCGAAGCTTTTTGCATTTTGCTCCCATCACGCTTGCTATAAGATCATAGTCTTCAATCTGCAAGGAAAGCAAACACTTTGTCATATGTACCTCCTTCCACACATACATAGGTGTTTCAAGATTTGCTTGCTAACACACCTACAGATCTGTCTTAAGCTTTTGTCATTTCTAAAGAGCTCTGAAATTTTTTCGACGTAGAGTACAAGGTCTGCTTTCACAAAAGACAAAATCAAAATAAATTTCTCTTAATCCCCAGACATAGGTGCTTTTAAATTCACTTAATACTAAGGATCAGTGAAAATGCAGTGAGAAGTTTATTTTCTTTGAAAAGCTTTTTTTCACAGTTGTTTTTCCTTTAAAAGATGACTAAATCTGTTTTTATGACGACAGGCACTGCAACCATAAGCACATGCACATTTAAGAATGTGCTCATTTCTGTTCTACGTTGATCAGTTGCTGCATCTCCTTATGGCAGTCTTATTAGCTCCCTTGGGCAAGCCAAAGGGACTGAAACAGGGTCCCACTACACAGGCAGACGAAACGAAATCCATCATCAAAAACCATAGGAAGACAAGGACTGTTGGAAAAATGCAGTCATGTTGCCTTCCTCCTCTGCCCATGGGTTAAAACAGGGAAGGATAAGCCAATCGAATCCAACACATTCCATGTTTCTATGAATTCTGCTTTTTCACTTGCTTCTTGAACGATGAGGAAGGTCAGTTAAGTCTCCCTGATGAGTGACCTGGCAAGTCACAACCACTCTACACACAGCTCTGGCACACACAAGCAACACAGCCCAGATGAATGCCCTGCAGGAATTGCTGCTGTCCCTGTATCATCTTTCTTTTAATCAATGAGTGTGCCCAGCAAGTCTATAGCTCAAACGGCTTTTGCTGAAAATATTTTGCTTGTGGTTATCATTGTGGGGTCTGACACAAGCATTAATCTGCTAGGAATGATGATCTGGTCTAATAAAAATAATTCAGTCTTGGTTATTAGTTTTGGAAAGAAAAAGTGATTATGCATATAAAGAGTGCTGGAATTTTTAGGAAGAGGCTGAAGAACTACAAGAAAGCGTACAGGCTATGTTTTAGGCCTACTGAACTAATACATAACCCTTAAGTATATGACTAAGTTGCACTCATCTTCAACCTTTCAAAAAAGTATATATAAAATGCCTCTATATAACATGCCTTTGTGAAATGTAAACCCAGACTGAGTTGGAAACACATACGCACGCCCCACCTTGAGTGGTGTAAGTACTCACCATGACGCAGCTGCCCAGGCTGAGGTGCTGCAGCTCTGAGCAGAAGTTCAGAATACTGAGCAGGGCTGTTTGCTGCCACGGGGGAACACATCAGAAGGAAACATGGAAAGTGAAACAAAGGGAAGAGGTCAATTAGACATTAAAGGCTGTCACTGCATTTCCTGAAATACAGCTCAAAACTCTGTTACAGGCACCACAAATGCCACTTAATGAGTCCCTGGGTACTCCACCCATTGATTGGCTTAAAGCAACAGTGATCGTTACAAACCTTCATGCAAGTCACTTTGGATGTGGTTTTGCATTGCCCTGAAGATACCCACATACCCATCACCTATCCGCACATTTCCCGCGGGAGGGCTGCTGAAGAAGTGTGGCAAGTTCAAACAACAGGCAAGGCTGGCCTGAAAAACAGGGGGCTGGTGCCAGATGAGGGGAACAGCAGAGGCTCTGACATTCGCTGATCGGCTGTAGCCTGATGGAACTGCCAATAGAGCCACGCAGCATCAGAACCGAGCTGGTGACTTTAATGTCAAAGGAGCCTCCGTGCTGACAAGGATGCTGACAACCATCGAGCACCTGTCACTTCTAGCCCGCAAACTGAAACAGATATAATGTGTATTTTACAGGCACATTCCTGCCATTTCACGTGGACGGTCTTTCCAGAAAGTGCCGCACATGAAATTGGACTGGAACGTCAGATGCATCTTACAAAATGTAAAGTACGCGGCTGTTCTGTTCCACAACAAGGGTTTTAATCTGTGTTTCTAAGATACAGAAAAGACTTTTCTGCACTGTTTGTAGCCATATTTTGTTTTGCAGTTGGAAATACACACAGTGCGAAAAAGAACGTAGCCTGCGATTCACATCGCAAATAGCTGTGCATTATGCTTAAAACATTCATCCCTTTGGTAGCACTTTGTAAGTATGAGCTTGAAAATGGGAGTAAGTTTCACAGCATATTAACAATAGAAGTCTGTGGACTTCTAAAGGACATACAACAGTTTCTAGCAGAAAAAAATCCAAGCAATATACATGGGACAGAATAATCTATTGCTAATAAGTGAAATTCCTACAAGAACACTAGTCACAATATTTGTACGCGTGGGCAGTATATTTTACATTCTTTTAAAAAATATAAATTTACTTGTTTTCAGAAAGTTTACAGTTAAATGCTTTTCTTAGTTTCCTCAGTTTGTTATATTCTAATGAAATTTGGCAGGAACGTGATCCTTTGTCACATCACGTTGAAGAAATATCTGATTCCTTGAACCGAATGGCTGGGAAATATAGAAGAGGGATATAGCATGGGGTATTCACGGAGACCATTTCAGATATCTAATCTAGGTGTCTCCAGTGAGCAACTAGAAACACCCAGCACTTTTATGAAGCCTCAACTTCCAATTTGGTGTTCTAAGATTTTGATTTCTCAAAGGCAGCTTAAAAGTAGATGCTATGAGTAAGCCTTCTACACACATCTTTGCACAGGTCTTACAAAGTCACTGTCCACTTGCTTGCTTTGCTTTCATCCACATTTTTAAAGAAAAGCACAGCTAGGGAATTAAATATACGAGTATTTAAAGGTTATTACTAAAGACATCACACCTAAGAACACTTTAAAACTAGCAAATGTGTAAATATCCAGTAAGTTTTAAGTAACACACTTATTAAGTAAATGATTCATTTGGATCATTAAACCTGAAAGAAGTAATGCCAAGACAATGAGACATAGTCTTTACTACTGAACTCAGTGAGAACTTTGAGCTTTAGAATCTACTTAGGTGCACAAATTAAAAGCAAAGTCCCCAAATTCCTCTCTACAAATCTTAAATATGAGAGCTAAGTAAGAGTCTCTGCACATATAGTGCTAAACAGTGTTTCTGCAGGTGTTCAGGTGACTCCACAGGAAAGCTGAGTATCTTGCTCCATTCAACCATGTGTTTTAGTAATGGTTTCCAGACTGAAATTCAAACACTGGCCTAAAAGAATGAAAAGTAGAGATATCCTTCCTTAATGACACAAACAGTGCAAAAGTGAGTAGTCACTGAATAGCTCAGAATCACAGAATCATTGAGGCTGGAAAAGACCTCTGAGATCATCAAGTCCAGCCCATGACTCAACACCACCACAATGGTTAGACCATGGTACTGAGTGCCACATCCAGCC